TTTCTCCTCTAATGTTCACGGTCTTTGCTGCCACACTGGAGAGGACTGAACTAATGAAGATCTCCTCCTGTGAGCTCCATGAGGCATCCGCACTATTCCTTCTGTACTCATTACACTGAGCAGAACATAGACCAGAAAAAGCATTCTTTGCTGGCTATAAATCATGAGTGACACTAAGGTATTGCTATTAGCAGCAGAAAAATGCTTTCCTCCCACAACCTCATTCAGCCCCATATACATACAACACTTTAGCAAAGGGTGCTGGGGTGTCTGGATAGAAAATTAAATCTGTTGTCTGAAGATAAATTGGTACCTCCCTCGGCATGTGTGAGTGACTTTGTCTTTTTCTGATTTGTCTTTTAACTTACAAAACACCGAGACTGAGATAACGATGAGCTTTAAAAACCTAGGCTTCTTCCCCTCCCAGGCCCTCCTGAACAAATCCGTTCTCTGAAATGAGCTCAAAGAGAAGATAAATGTTCTGGCAGTAATATGCAATATTATTTTTGGCACTTGAAGAATCTCAAGCTAGATAAGGGAAAACTGAAAGGAAGACAAAACTCTGTTTTTTCAAATGCAAGGGACCAAATTCTGCTCACCCATATGAACCCAGAATCCTTTCTTTTTTCTGGATTATTGCAGTAATTCCTGATTTTCACCAGGTTAGCTGATCCTGCGGCCTTATTTAAAACCCAGCACATTCAGAGACGCTGGTAAAATCACCCAATAAACGAGCTGAGAGACAAAGACACACAAAGAAAACGCCAAGTCCACAGCTCCTGCCCAAACAAAGGCTAATTTTGTTTCAGACCATGTTAGCTGTAACAATGATAAGATTAACACCTGATATCAAGGGAAACACTGAGCTGTCTGTGACCTCCTTCAGCAGAATAGCACTCCAGCCCCTCTTGTATTAGCGTATGTTAGAGGAACCGCTTCTTTCCTGGTCTAGTAGGTATTTCCCTACAGAGCCTTTGTGAAAAGCTCCGAGCAATGTTTCTGCCGATACATTTGTGGGCATATTGAATAAAACATGTGCCATTTGATGTTGTTCACTTGGGCTGCCGTGGGTAATGGGAGAGGGCACATGTTACTGCAGGGCAGAGCGCCGCGAGGGGATGGATCTGGCCTTGATAGGAGCAGGATGAAGCACAGGCGTACACAGGAGTGTGTCACGTCTTTGATTCTAACAGAGCCCTGACCGAAGGACCCGGCATTGATCTAAATGCTGGCTGTATGTATTGCCTTAAGACAAGGAAAAGTAAAAAGCCCAAACCTTTGCTCTCTTTACACGCACTAGCTTGTTACAGACATACATGCTTTGGAAATCAAATGCGAAAGAATTTTCAGAGCAAACTAAGTGTTTTAGAGGCAAAATTTCTACTGCTTGGAGAGCCTCCTGTGTCCAAAGCACACACAACCTTTGCTCTGCAAATTTCAATGTGCTTTGTCAAGCTTGGAAGTTTGTAAGAGACTCTGGGACTCTTGAGATCTCTTAGAGCAGCCTGTAATAGGGAACAATAATTATTGATGCTGCTGTTTTTAAATGATGATGTTGCCATGTCTCAGCTGTTCTTGTATTTGTCTGGCATGTGAGTAATGGTTGCATGGGATAGTTAGAGGCATCCCCACCTGTGGTGTCTAATCAAAGTTAATCATCTGCTAGGGATCGCTTGGCAATTAAGAACTGTTCAGTGGTACTTTTATAACACAAGATTTGTATGATGTGACCAGAAAGAGTGTCCTAGCATAAGAAATAGGGTGTTTCTCAGGAAATTCAGCACCCCCCTCCTAAAAGCTGTGAAATATCCTTGGGTTGGTTCAGTGAAGCAGCATTTTGAGAAGGATGTCAGCAAGAATCAGGAAAAGCCCTAGAGGAAATTTGTTTGGTCACCAGGAACAACACTGTCTTCTAGACAAGCTTTGATGATACACTTGTTCATTTTCATTTTTGTCCCTGTGTTTCTAACTCTGCAATGAAATACCTTATCCCTGTCAGCTGTTGTGCCATTGGCATGTGTCATTCCGCCCCACATCAGTAACACCAGGGCCAGCTCTGCAGAGAGAAGCCCAGCTTGGCGGGCATTCACTGATGCACCTTTGGCAAGGAGCAGGCAGTGGGAAGATGCCTTTGACTCCAAGAATATCTGTAACTACTAGAGGATCTGCCCTTGACACCAATAGAGCAGGGTCATACCCTGTCCTGAGCTCTAAATAGTTCAAAAACTTAAAATGCTTCTGGTCTTTGGTTTCATGGAACTGATCATGGCAGTAAGGCCATCTTTAGCAGAGTGTTAATATTTGGGGAACCTTCATCTCCAGCAGATTTCTGTTTCATGGAAACAAATTCATTCCTGTCTTCTATGCAGTCATGAAAGTCTATAACATACTATTTATTTGCCCAAATCAACCTTTGGCAAGAAGCTTCGCTTCCTTGCTCCCCACCTGCTCTTGTTCTGTTTGGCAGTGGACACTAGGGCCACTTTCCATCAATACAGGCATCGTGGTTTTCCACAGGGACATGTACACACAACCGAGAGCCGATTTCCCTGCCAGCAGTCGGTGTGGAAGGTTGTAACTTTTTCCAACAGCAAGGAAAAAGCAGCAGGCTTGCAGGCAGAAATCTATCAGTAAAGCTGCACAAGTATATTAAATAAAGCAAACAGAAATTTGCTGTTACGCTTCAAGTAAATAGTTTCTCCTTCTCAGTTTGCTCCAGCATAAAAATCCCTCTGCCCTATAAATGCCACTGCCAGTATTTATTTGTGAAGAGCTTGGGTCTATTTATTTATTTATCCATATTTAGTTTAAAAGTCTGGGCTCAAAATTAAACAGCCATTCATAATGTCATTATCTGCCTTGCTCCACAGTCAGATACTGTGTGTGGTGTCACAGGACAAAACCTTTGGCAAGGCCTCTAGAAGAGCAATTTAGCTCCTCATCCATCTCAGCTGGCAGCGTGATTGGCTTCCAAGCTAGCATTGCTGAATGTTTTATTTTACTCTGACATATATTATTGAGTGTTAAATCACTTTCTGAAGTGTTTATTGGTAATAGTTGAATTCTTTCCACTCATTTAAGCTGCTTTTGCAACACAAACATTTCCTTGTATCTTGGAGTTTGATGGAAACATGGGGAGAGTTCCTCAGGAGGATGGATTGTACAAATGGTCAGCTTATTAGGTAGGGACAGAATTTACCAGTGCTGTGGAGGAGAATATCCTCCTCCTTCCATCAGGATGAAAGAGCAAATGCCCACCGCCATGCCACGGCCCTTCACATGGGGAGGGTTTACTGTGTCTTGGTTCTCCCATCATGTCTTGTCCTGTCAGGAAGCAGATGACCCTTTTACTGGAACATCAGTGACTTCCTGACAGGATCTTCATAGATCCTGAAGCTCCCTGAAAAGAAAAACGGGCCGTGATCTGCAGGATCAGGTGCTGGGGAAGTTATTAGGCATCAGCATGCCCATGCCTCCAAGTGTGGAGTGTGGTCTGCAGCCCCTGCCTGGCAGTGATGTCCCTCGGGAAGGAACCAGAGACCACTTTCTTGTACCTATTTAGGAAAATGGAGCAGAGGATCAGAGAGCCCTTTGACAATTCATCTCCTGAGGACCCCAGATGTGACAGCTCAGCAGCTTGATCCAGGCTGGCATACTCAGTACTGCAAGTCCTCTTACCTCTTGTCCTTGCTCCAGTGAAGACCTACAAATCATAGCTTTTATTTTCTTTTTATCTTTAATAAGGAGGTCCGTTGAGTCTCTTTCCTGCATCTGGGAGTTACTTTCCAATCTCATGAACACTGACTTTTAGGGACAACACCAATGACGAGCTGCTGAGATCACACTAGCAATCAAGGCTCCTTTGATGGCAGAGCTAAAAATATGCTCCCCAGCTGACACAGCCTTAGGGAGGAGAACATATAGTTTGGTTTGAAAGAATACATCTTCCTTTGTCTCCATGTCTTCTTCTGCCAGAGAATGCCTCATCTGTGACAACCATGCAAGCAGGTTACATCTGTCTTCTGAACTGAAGCACCCATGTACAGACCCATACTACCTCCAACCCCAGAAAGAGTAAAGCTTTAAAACCCTCTGAGTGCCTTGGAGAATGGTGTCGTCAGCAGTTTTGCCTCTCTGGTCATGCTGGCACTCGCTGAGTTATTGCATGGCAGGAGCCACATCTTAGGGTCTGGAGGAGATCACCTTTGCCAATCCCCTAGGTTCAGTTTCAGTCCTCTTGGTCAGCTGTCCCAGCTCTTTCCTTTCCTATCTGGTTCTCTGCCTGCTCTTCTCCTTGCTAAATCCAGGGTGCTGGCTCACAAGCTCCCTGGCTAATGAGGTGTCCCCAAAGCCTTGCTTTGGCACTTGTAAAGGAAACTGTGGTAAATTGTGCCACTGCCACCTCCTGGGCTTTCTGAGGATGAGAGCTCATCCCATGGGTTGCAAATGCAGATTCATGTAAATGCTGTGCAAGAGATCATGGATTGCCCAGCTTCAACCTGCACCAGCCTGCTCCCTTCCCAGGACTGCGGAGTGATGGCACTAACCAGCCCATGTTTGCAGAAGAGTGTAGGTCTCCCTCCCCTGGGAAGCATTAGCTAAAGATGGATCATTAAGGCTTTTGGGTAGGAGACGTACAGATGAACAATAAAGGTTCTCCATTTGTAATGTGTAACATGTCAGAGGGTAAAAGGTTTAGCAAAGCACTTTGGCAAATGGAAATAGCAAAAAGGGCGTATTTTGCTGGCTAAATGAAAGCCTCTGTGTGTAATTTTTCATGCTTTTGCATGCATAACTTGAATGCAGAGAAAGGAAAAATTAATTTGCTTGGTCAGACAGAAATACACCATATTTATTGATTTAAGAGATACAGGGGGTATTTCTACGTAGCTGTGGTAGCTATAATGTTTTTGCCACACAATGTTCCACCCAAAAAGGCATTCACCCAAGAATGTCTCTGGGCTCAGTCAGCCTCAGTCCCAGAGGTAGATGTCCCATCCCTAAACCTCTGTGGGCAGTGGTCCGTTGCCAGGAGTCTGTTTGATGCTCCCATTGAGGGTGTTGGCCCTGAAGATGTACGACCTCCCTCTAACCGAGCCTTCAGTGTGGATGCTTTCTGGCTTGTTCTGGCAACGGAAGAACATAAGGAAGCCATTCCGGTAGTTCTTGTTCATCCATCCGTAGAGCAGGGGGTTGACAAATGTCGAGCACATGGCCCCAACATGGAAGACAGTGTACAGAAGTTTGTACTCATGGAAGATAAGAACCAGATCAAGATCAATGGCAAGCTGGAATATGTGGAAGGGGAGCCAACAGACGGCAAATACCACAACTACCATCACTAGCATTTTGGTTGTCTTCCTCCTCCGGCACTGGTTTTCATTCCTAGAAGTGGGACTGACATGGTTTTTGAGCTTGAACCAGATCCTGGTATAGGCATAACAAATAATTGCAAGAGGAAAAACATACTGCAGGAGGAGCATGGACAGACTGTAGATAGTGGCATCTCTGTTATTACCAGAAGGCCATTTTTCTGAGCAGACAGCCATTTTGAGGTTGATGGATGGGATTTCCTCATATCGGTACTCTCTGAAGATGGCCAGAGGACCTGCTAGGACAGCTGCTGCTAGCCACATGATGGCTATGATAGTGAAGCTGAGCTTCTTGGAAATCCTGCTGTCCAGATGGAAAACAATACACCGATACCTATCCAGGGCAATCACAGTAAGGGTGAGAGTGGACACATGGACACTCAGAGCTTGAGCGTAAGGGACCAGATGACAAAGAACAGCTCCAAACTTCCACTCGTCCAGCAGCGTGTACACTAGGGTGAAAGGCAGACAGAGTGTGTCCACCATCAGATCTGCCAGGGCCAGGTTAGCTATGAAGAAGTTGGTGACGGTCCTCATGGTCTTGTACTTCACTATGATATAGATGACCAAGGAGTTGCCGATGAACCCCAGCAGAATGATGAGGGAGTAGGCGGCAATCAGAACAACCTGGACCCCCAGGATCTTGGTGCTGTCCATCATAACACTGCGGGACCCAGAGAGATCCTGGCTAGGAGTGACAAAGTCCTTGGCATGCCAGCCCTGTGGCAGCTTCTCATCTAATGCTGTCTTCTCCATGGTGAGGGTGCTGTTGGCTCCCTCCAACAGTCCCATGCCTGGCCTGAGACTTTCCGTCAGGAGGAGAAGGAGGTCTGGAACACAGACACAGCAGAAGTGAGAGCACGGGAGACAGCAGAAGATCTGCAAGAACTGAGACTCAAAGGGCATGTCCCACATGGCATTTCAGGCTAAACAGCAGCAGCAGCAACATTCTCCTTCCTTCTCCATTACCCCCCATCCTTCCTCATACTTTCAGCTCTCTTACACCTCCTGTTAGAGCCTATGACCAGTTGAATGCCAATTCTCCAGGGAAGGGTCAGGGGAAAATGCAACTTTCCACACAAGTTTCTGAGATTCTGTTTATTTGAACTGAAGAGGGAAAAACCTCTCAACCAGCCAGGACCAGACTGGTAGGTCCTGAAATATCCCCTGCTCATGGAGCCCCTTTGCACATTGCCTCTCCTGCTTCTTCAGGCTAGGCTTTGCAAAACCGGGAAGTCGCTTCAAACAAGCCAAAATTTTGGGACCTCTTGGGGCTGACAGAAGAAATCGATGATGGTGTCAGTCATCTTTGGTGAGATTTACTTGCCTACAAAAATGCCGAGAGTCCTAACTCCTTAAAACTAGGAAAGGAAAAAAAAACACAGGACACTCAAATTCAAGGTGCTTTTCTCCACCTCCCCACAACAATTTATTTCCAGGCTGCACACCAGGTTTTTTCAGTTTCTTATTTCTCACCTCTCCAGGTGAAAATATCTGTCACCCTGTCTCTGCCTGCATCTCACCACTGCTCCTGTTAGTCATGCTACTGCCAAGACTGGTAAACCCCTGCTCCCAAGCCCTGGTAGTGTGTTTAGCATAACTAATACCATTTTATGAGGCAAGCAGCCACTCTCTGTGACCGAGCGGGTCACGTATTTGTTCCCTTTCCCTCATTATCAGGCCCTGAAGGTCCTGTGAACCAACTAGACAAACAAAAGAGTTTTCTTCTTCCCCTCCCTGCCAGCCTCAAGGTTCCTGGTCGCCAGGCCAATTACTCCCCTCCTTGCCAGCCTTGAAGGTCCCAGGCACCCAGCCAGCCAGGTGTTGTTGATGACCCCATCACAGAACGGGGAAGCGTAACAGCACCCAGAGCACTGTCCATAAAATGAAGCAATTACAAGTCGTAAGTGGGGAACTGCTGGACAGCGAGACCTGTGACCCACCGTGGCCAGGGACACCCCCACCGTCCTCTGCTTCCTCCGAGCATTCAGTGAGTGACTTATATTCTTTGATAGGATTTTCGAGTCTGGATTATGATTGTTATATTGATACAGCAAACCATATATTAGGGTTTGACCCGATCTGCAGAGGGTCCAGGTGATTATAAATTGTAAGTTAAGTTGTATTATAAATTCTGTACTACACTACTTGTAGATTGTACTACATTGATTCTGCTTGTAGAAATCCTGTGCCGTTGCGATCATAAATTCTGTGCTGTACTAATCATAATATCCTGTTAAGGAAATAAAGCTTTAATTGTAACCACGATTTAGTGCCATCGCCAAGGATCTCTAAAAGAACCTGTCTGTCCCCTCAGTGTCAGTGACACCCAGGCATCCGCCGGCTTTGCAGAGGAGGGACCTCCTGCAGGGACATGCACGTGCAGGGGGCAAACCGATGAAGTTGTGAACAAGCCTCCCGCAGAGCCATTGCTGAGCGTCCAGGCACAAAAAGGTCCGAGACCCAAAGCCCCGGCATCGGTGAACCTCCTGCTGCATGGTGCTCAAACGTCCGCGTGAATATGGCTTTGGGAGCAGGGAGCCTGACTGATGAGCCAGAACTGACTCAGTCAGGAACCGTGGCTGGCGTTTGGTGCCATTGTAACAGCAGAGTATTGTCACGGCAGGGTTTTCATTCGGTCCAGACACAGCAGGAGAAAAGCCAGCTCTGTTACTGGCTCCTGCTCAGCCTCCGTGTCTCAGAATTGCTGCTGGGGTATGCGGAGAGGGGTGGACGTGGCCCCTCACATATCCCCTCTCCCCAGCACTGTGTGCGTGGCCCTCATTCCCACCGCACGCTTGATCGAAAGTGAGCAAAAGTCATCACTCTGCCCAAAAAGGGTGGTCTGCAGAGCATCATGTTTTCTCTGACCTGCAGAGAGGGGGGGATAATGCCCTGCCACTGAGGGAGGCAGGCAGAGGGCTCAAACGAAGCTGGGAATTAGAGGCAAGAGTGCTGAGTACCTTCTCAAACTCTTTGAGGAGCGAGTTGCTCTGGGTTTGTACCAGGTGAGATGGGAGCACTGCTGACTGGGTGCTGGTGGGCTTCTGCAGGTCCATGTCCTGCAAGCCAAATGTTTAAGGACAGCCTGTCCTTGGGAAGGGAGAATGCTTTCTGTGCAGAACACCTGCATTTCAGCTAGTTCCTTAAACAAATACCGTAAAATAATGGCGGCAAGATGGTAAAGGTGGCAGCAATTACATTGCAATGAATAATAAAAGGCTACTTGTTCTTTATCGCGCCTCAGAGCAAGGGTTGTGATTCCCCCTTGGGAGCTGCTCCTAGGAATCTGCCCGTCTGGCTGCAAACCCTGGGCCCCTGCGGAAGCCCAGCAAAAGAGCTGCCTGTGGTAGACCACCCCTGCCTGCACACTTGCTTTCTCTTGCCCTCTCCATGTCCGTTGGCTTGCCTAACTTGTCTAACTGCTGGTCGATTTATGCCAATGATTCCTCTAAATGAAGTTGTTAGGCTCAGATACCGTGATAATGGAGACCATATAGCTACCGCTAAGAGGGTAGGAAGGTAGCTTTAAGCAGCAGGAGGGAAATGTGGGTGGATTTTCTGGGGCGAGGATTTGCTTAAGGGTGATCTCAGACCTCCACGACACAGCTGCCCCCAGCCCTGGGAAGGTAACCCCAAAGACCAAAGGGACGTCCCAACTTCTACAGCGGGGGAGAGGAGCTCAAAGCCGCCCCGTGCAGCTGGCACAGTGGGAAACGGAGCAGGGGAACAGGCAGGGCACAGCCACAGCCTCTTCGACAGAGCCCGACCCACGCGCAGCAGCATCCCTCCGACTCCGTGCTGCAGCTGGCCCCGAAGCAAACCTTACTGCCAGAAGAGCAAGGTCCGTGAAGGAAACAGAGCAAGGGCTGGGCACACTTTCAGTGGCTGTGCTTTCCCTGCTTGCTCTCTGTCTGGGTTTTTATACCTTCCAGATTGTCTAGCATCGCTTTATCACTATCACTTGTTATCTCCGTTTCTGTGGCTTGCCTGTCCCATTTATTTTCAGTACCCAAGTCCTGGCATGACACCAGTGGACACTCCCTTCCCTTTTTCCCCCATCTCACCCACCAACTGGCTGCCAGTTCCCGTGTTCACATCTCAGGCTATTTCCTTTTGCTGGAGACTGGCAGCTACCCACCATCTGAGAGGAGCCAGGAACACCATGATTATTGGAGCTGTTTCGCTTCCTAACAAAATGGCCTTAATGGAGTTATTATTTGATTTGGTTTGCTTTGGTTTTTTCCAAAGAGGAACTATTAAAAATCAATTAAGGCATTTTAATTAAGAGACAAAATGGTCATAATAAATATTCCCACTCCAGGGGCTGCCTGGAGGTCGCAGGGCTGCTGCTAGGAGTGGACCAAGGTCCGTTCCAGCAAGTAATGGAAGAGCTGGCATATGTGTAGGCTGCTGTCAGGCACACGCTCCCATGCCCAGCAGCCCTGCCAGGCTAGATGACAAAATCCTTGGAGCTGAGAGCCAACTGCTTTTGGGAGAGCAAAAGAGCAGGGCAGACCAGGAGGAGGCAGAAATACTACCCTAAGCCCTCTCCCCTGTGCTGGGCTGCCATGAAGGGATGCAGAAACAGGGCATTGCCTGGATCCTGCCCTCACACTCTCCTCCAGCTGAGGTTCAACCTGAGGCAGGGCTGGGACCCAGGGATGGCTCCCAACGAGGCAGAAAGCTGTTCCCTGTGCCAGCAGGCTTCAGCCTTTGGGAAGAGGGGGAGAGGAGGGGAAAGCACAGAGGAGCTGCGAAACCTCAGCCCTTCACTGAGCACACTGCTATTGATGACTGAGAGGGACAGTGACCAACATGACAGCTCCAAAAATCCATTCCTACAGAGGGCCTAGACTAGGTGCCCTGGGACTCACACGCATCTCTGCTTCTGGGGATGCCCCAGCTCCCTCCATGTCCCTGCTGCAGCCCCAGGCACGCAGCCAGCCTGGTCCAGATCTGTCGGGGCACATCCAGACCTGGAAAAGCCACCTGCAAAGCCTGGCAGGGTTCAGAAAGCAGGGCTGGAGGGGTGGGCAGAGAGCTGGAGAAAACAGAGATTGTTGATTAAAATTCCTCTTTTTGTCCCAAGAAGCGAGACCAGGGTCACTGCAGCCAGCAGGCATGCAGCGTGGGGACAAGGAGTGCAGAAAAGAGGGAGGTAAGGAGAAAGATTGCTCAGAGCGTGGCCAGGAATTACAATTCTATCATAGTTATTGATTTGAAAGGAGGAATTGGAGGGACTTGGGCTAGCCTGTGCTCTCTGGCTAATGACAGCCACAATCTTTCTACAGAAGCACTGGGGTGTGAGGGCTGAGGCTGATGGATACATTCATGCCTTGGCTCACTGATTTATTCCATGCTGTGTCCTTCCTCCAAAGCAGCTCAACTCCATGAAACCCCTTCATCTCCAGCAGTGCTGTCTGGAGCACTGACTCATCCCATCCCCAGTCCCATATCTGGCAGCAGTCGGGTGTCAGTGGCAAGGAGGTCTGAGACCATCCATCATCACCAGAACTTGGTTGTCATCCTGGGGCAAGCCACCTTCTACCACCTTCATGTTCCCCTACCACACTCAAGAGGCAGCAGTGTTCAGCCCTGCACCCCACACACAGCATTTAAGGGAGGAGAACACAATAAACTGAGATACGGACATTAACCAGCTTGCCAGAGGCCACACAGCACATCCACAGCAGGGCTGGGAGCAGAGCCCAAGTTTGCTAACTCCAGCCTCCTGCATTCACCACCAGAGAGGACTCTGCATTTCTCAGGATAAAACCTGAATATAGATT